ACCCACTACATGTGTATGAAGAAGGCAGATATGTCTGCACAGCTGCTGCAAAGAGAAGTAAGAGATGCRGGAGCAGGCTGCAGGCTTAGGATGGCTGTCCCAGCTGCTGTTAGGTCACCAGCAAAGCATGCACCTCGCTTGGTTCAATGAGCCACTCTACCCCACACCTCTTACAGCAGAAGTACAGGCAAACCGCTCACTACACCAACAAAACAAGCATTTTGAGCAAGCTGGCTTTAATTCTCTTGTCAGGATGCCAGCAGGGACCTGAGTCCTAACTAAGGAGATCAGATGTGTACTGCTGAACACTCAGGCAAAGTTGTAGTGMTGGAGACACATGAGGGGCTGAGCATCCCCAGCACCTGCTTTCTCTTCATGGACCTTTTTCCCCCCCTCTTGAACTGATGACAAGAAGTTTCCCACAAGGAAAATCCTTTACTGAGCTCCAAAATATGAGGCAAGTGATATGTTTGCTTGAATTTTGGGCTACCATAGCACTGGGRTTCACTGGTGTCAAGAGCTCCCACCCTATTGGACATAACTGCTTGGCTGCAGCCGGTGACACGGGAAGCTCCTCTGAAGAAAGCTGAATCGTGCTRGCTCCTGTGTTTGATTTCCAGGATCCAAGCCACAAGGAGAGCTAAAAATTTCCCAGTTAACAATATCCCAACACAAGACTTGATAATGGTACCACAAGGGTATTATACAACTGCAAACTGGAAGACGTGGTCTGCAAATCAGACTATGGAAAGTGAGAAATCAAAAAAAATTTCAGAGAGAAATCAAACTGAGAAAACAGCTGGCCAGGACAGTAAGCTCAGAATTTAAGCATGGACCACATCACCAAAAATATAGAAACTTGTGCTAATTGCACTTGTCGTAGTTGACTGAGGTGCTTGCAAGCTTCCTGATGTGACATACGGGGTATGCAATTTCTGCTCTGCATTGATTATACACAGACAGCTCRTTCTGGCTATAGCCCATAGCCAGCTGTCCCCTGGATCAGCCACCTGCTTAGCATGGTGCCACTTTGCATGTCAGGAGTCAAGCAGGAAACTTTTATTCCCAGTAAAACCCATTGCAAAGAGGCAATGGGAGCTAAGGATTTCATCGCATGCAGATTTAGCAGCAAATTTTTTACCACTGCCCAATCTTTGCAGTGACATGTAGACTTTAAACATCATCTGTGGGTAATACTGGAGTACATTACTCACAGCAGTGCACCCGGGAGAACCAGCAAATCCTCTCCGTTTGAGCCCGAGCGCCAGCTTTACCCTGGAATTACATTTATCTCTCTGGCACTAGGCTCTCATTAATGGAATTACCAGGCAGGCTGCTTCAGACTTAACACTTGAGAGAGGCGGGCTGGGATGGCTCCGCTCCAGCCTCAGCCCGCAAAGCCGGCACTGTTTCTCCATCCTCCAGCGAGCTGCCGCCCCGAACGAGCCCGACCCCGTGACGAGAGCCAGGGAAACAAAAGGAACAACCCTGAACTGTCCAGGGCAATCAATATCTTTCTAGGAACATCCAGGCTTCTTGCCAGCTTTCTCCAAATCCCGATTTAGCTCTTCTGCAGTGCAGAGGGGGATGGCACACGCAGGAGCAACCCGGTGTGATGCGGAGCCAGCGAGTGTGACTGGCACTCGAGCAGACACTTAGGGGGAACAATTCTACACCAGTTCCTCTACAAACACCTCAGCTGAGGGTGTCTAAGCAAACCCACATCTGCGGAGGGCACCTCCCCACTTGAAAATCAGAGCAAGCACACCAGTCTGAATACTCGCTTCAGAAATACCCACTGCTTCTTCAAACGAGAAAGTGCATGGTAGCAAACCAACCAAGATTGCTACTCTCAGCACACAGGAGTATCTTGACCATTCTAGCTATCTGCCTTCCACCACACAGCCACTCTTGCACTGCCGTGCTGAGCAATCTGCAGCAGAGCAGGAACCAGCCCTTTAAAGGACCCCTACGCTACCCAGTAAAATGGGCAACTGGCTGCCGAAAGCCAAAGAGGATGCAGCAAGCAACCCTACGACACAGCTGCACGGACAGCTCTGCAACTCCAGCACCTGTGAGGGCCGTTCTTTACACAGAGCAGCTGTAGGCTTCTTTAGGTGGTATATTCCCAGTCACCTGCAAGGGGAATTCTCTAATCTCAGCATAGAGGAAGCATGAGAAAACAGAGATCCACCAAAACCTGAATAATGCTTGCCCCAGATSTGGAGACTCAGGAACACAGCTCTGCCAGGGCAAGTGGTGGATAGAAAGGGGAAGGCAAGGACAAAGCTCATTGGCAGAGCACAGACACGTCCTTCCAATAGCCTGAGCTGTGGAAGCTGAACTACTCTCCCCTGCAATTAGAATGAAGGAGAGGAAAGCACAATAATTACTCCAGTGTGACTGTGAAGGACCGACAAGCTTTTGAGTTTCAAAGTCCACCTTAACACACAYTCTTTGGTGGGATTTTATTTCTAAAGAAAAGAAGAAAAGAGGTTTTTCCATGGGAAAAGCTACCATATAACCCTGTTATTAAACTAAACAAGGCACAAATGAGGGCTGCGGCTGGGGTTGATGAGGCAAGTCTGAGGACCGRCCTCTCTTCCCCCTGCCCCTGCATTTGCTCTGCCAGCAATGCAACGATTCAGAGGCAGACTGCCCCGTGACAGGAAAAACACATGTAACACCCAGGCGGTGAAACCTCACATCTGAAGGCATCTATGCAAAACACAGCCTGAAACATATTTTCCAGCTCCACACAGTCACTTTGCAAAGCAGAGCTGGTGAAACACTACAGCGTGCACTGAGGGTGAGATTYGTCAGCAGGAGATACTCTCAAACATCTCCCTATTTTCTCCATACCAGAAAAAAAAAGAAAAAAAATGAAAAAAGAAGCCTAGGGTAAGTTTATGGAGTTCTGCAGCTCAGGGTGATGTAAAAGAGACAGAAAGACATGAGACAAAAAAAAATTTATACGAGTACAGTGCTCTGCAGGGGAACAGCCTAGCTAAGAAAACTACTTTCTTTTCAAAAAGCCCGATAAGGGTAAGGAGCCATCAGAATTATGAGTCAAGCTCCAAGATAAGAAATCATACTGCTGGATGGGTGCGGCTGCCTCTTGTTTGGTCGCTGTTGGGTTTTTTTTTTAAAGATAAACATGTCTTTCAGAACATGCTTGTTGGCCAATCTTCTCTCTGAAGAAAAAAACAAAACAAGAAGGAAACTCACAACCGTGAAAACGACAAATGAAAGACAGGAGAGTTTCCGAAGAGCTCTGAGGTCATGCTTCACAGATCTTTTAAAGTAAGATGCAACATATCAAAAAGGATGAAAGAGGAGTAAATTTAAAATTCCAACTATTTCAATAAAATATCATTCAGAGAAGATATTAAGCAAACTCTGCAAGAAGCAGACCCCCTTCACAGTGCCCGAAGCCTGTCATGTAAAATAAATAATATTTTACACTTATTTCATTTGCAAAGCTGTTTATATATAGGAGTATTTGATCAGAAATTCATAGTCTGGAGGAGGATAGCTCAGCAAATACATCCAAAAARAGTAACTTGTATATCAGAGGCAGAACTAAGGCAAATCCTTTAGGAAGGGTATAAAACTGAGCAGAGAATGGTTTTGAATCCAACAGAATGATGGCTTAATCATAGCCAAGGTAGAAGTAGAAAAATACTGCAGGAAAGTAACGTGTAAAGCACCCAGGAACTCGATGGAACAAAAGCCACAGCAAGGCCCATCACTCTCACCAAACTCCCTGCTGGCTCAGTGAATTGCAGTGACTTGGTGACYGGGATCATGCCTGTAACCCCACCAGCTCAGCCCAGGACTCTGCTGCTCTCCCAACAAGGTGTTTAAGCAGCCACCACCAAGGTTATACAACAAGGTTATCTTGCAATCCCCTACGTTCAGAAAGTATTTTGCACTGGCCATCAATGCTTTCTTGTTTTTGTCTTGTCTTATTCAAGACCATCAGAGGAGAAGAAAAGTGACTGAGCACACGGCAAACCATTTACCAGAATGACAGGTTTTCACTAAGTCCTGCATATCACTGCTGTTGAACACAGCTTTAATGAAACATGGCAAGCCCCTCAACAGCTTCCTCTTCCTTAGCACAGCACGTACAGAGAAATGAATCAATGCTTTCACCTGCTTTGCTATGCACCCCTTGATTGAGGGCATCCCCTTTTCCTGCATCCAAAATGGGGCACCAAAATCACATCTGGTCAATGCAGCTCCCCAGAAGACTCCAGCATATGCCCTCATTTGCCATTTCGACAGGCACCTGAAGCACCCTGCTCCAGAACCAGCATCTCCTTCCTTGTCCAGCRGGGACATTGTTGCCTTTAACTCTACTCCAGCTGGAGCACAAGAGCAAACGGAACCATTTCTTGAGGGAAAAGACCTCACGATTCACCAYGGTGCCAGATTTCACTTCTTTGGGTGTTGTTTTCAAAGGAGACATTRCAAAGCAAAGCAGGGAGAACCACCCGCCCGCAGCAGGTTTGCTCATCCAGGCAACTCGGGCATCCCCAGCAGCCCCAGCCCGGCGCAGGGACCCAGCCCGGATGTCCCAGCCCGGATGGCAGCAGGGGCTTGGGGGCTGCCCAGCCGGGCCGAGTGTCACCCCGAGTCCCCGYGGAGCGCAGGGGGTGGCGGGGGCTCTGTGCCCCGGGGGCCGTGAGGGGCCGATGGGAAGGGGAAGCCGCTCCGAACCGGGGTCGTCCGGGCAGCTCCTGCGTCCTTCATCAGCTRGGGGGCTCGATATATGGGGCGGGGGGAGTGTACGTTTGGTTGTTTCGTTGTGTTTTGACCCCAATGCAGCCCCGCCGCGACTCAAAGGACCAGCCCAGGCCCCTGGCAGAGCCTCTGCCGGGTGCTCAGACCCTCCGCACACACCGCCGCCACACACACCGCCGCCGCACACACACACACACACACAGCCCTACGCATCCCGTCCCCCAAACACACATCCCTTTGCAGCCCCTCACCGTTCGCGTTGCTGTTCCCATCTCGTTCCCATTCCCGCTCTGTTCCCGTTCCCGTTCCCATTCCCACTCCCGCCCCATTCCCGCTCCAGCTCTCACCGCGGGGCGCATCCTCCTCTCGCAGCGCGCGCCCAGCCCGGCCCGCTGCCGAGCCCCGGCTGTCGCGCTCCCGCGCAGGCGCACTGGGAACCCCGGCCGGGACGTGTAACCGCCAGCGGCGTGCGGCTTCTCGCGAGAAGTCAATATGACTGTTCCAGGAAACCTCAGTGCAAGGGCGGGGAATTAGCTCAAATGGTAGAGCGCTCGCTTAGCATGCGAGAGGTAGCGGGATCGATGCCCGCATTCTCCAGCTAATTTTTTCTCCCACTTTCAACTGCCAGGCCGTTGCCGTCCTCTTTTGGAAACCAGAGCAATACTGGTTTTSCTTTTTGGAATTTTTGTATTCTTATTTGCTTCCTTAACATTCTTAAAGACCACAGACTCACACAGKATATGCTGAGTTGGAAGAGACCCACAAGGATTTTTGAGTCCAACTCTCAGCCCTGCACAGAACACCCCAAAAGTCACACTGTGTGCCTGAGAGCATTGTCCAAACATTTCCTGAGCTCTGTCAGGCTTGTGCTGTGACCACTTCCCTGGGGAGCCTGTTCCAGYGCCCAAACACTCTCTGAGTAAAGAACCTTCTTCCAATATCCATCCTAAACCTCCCCTGCTACAATTCCAGGCCATTCCCTCACTAGTCTSCWGAGAGAAGAGATCAGTGCCTGTCTCTCCACTTCTCCTCATGAGGAAGTTTTAACTGCAATGAGGCKTCCCCTCAGTCTCTTCCAGGCTGAGCAGATCAAGTGATCTCAGCTGCTCCTGATACATTTGCCTATCCCATGCTTAAGGCAGGCAGAACTCWGTCAGTGCATTCCTGGCACTGCAAGAGGATCTTTTGTTTCCTTAGTGAACATTGGATGAGGCCACAACAGTGAGCAGCACCCACTGCATCCAGTTCTTCCCACAAAGCTCTGGTCCCAGCCCTCTCTTTCTCATCCAACCCGAGAGCAGGAAAGCCTTTAGAGATCCCTTCTCCAGGGGGCCTCCATGTAGAGCCAAAACACTCATTTGTCTTCAGTAGATTTAAGAAGCAAAACACCTCAAGGAGTCATTGATGTAGGTGCCATTTAGTAAAAGGTCAAGACTTTGCTCTGTGAATTTATCCAGGTGCAAAGTTCAGGCAAATACTCAAATTCTTCACATTCTGCTCCTATCCTACTGCAACAAGCCACAAGGAAATAACCAAATGCCTAAAAAAAAACCCAAAAAAAGAGAAGCAGTTTTTACAAACTGAAAGTGTATCATGAAAAAACCCGACCCCACAGGATTACACATTTCCATCCCATTTCCATCCCAGACACAAACAGAATTGGGAATCAATGGGGAAAATAATTCAGAGCACTTTCCTCAGTTACAGACATGAGGAAATGACCTTTCTGTCAGATTTCAATGACAAAGAATGAAATTCAGCTTTCAAGCTGCTCACAGCCTACACCTGAGGAGACTGCAAAATATCCTACCSCAAACCTTTGCAGTGAATTAATTCTGATAGTCCAAGGAAGAACTGGATTRAAGAGAGGATACAGTGGCTTCCCTAGGGCACCAGTCTTATGGGGAGCAGCTGAGGGAACTGGAGTTGTTTAGCCTGGAGCAGAGGAAGCTCAGGAGAGACCCCATCACTGTCTACAGCTACCTGAAAGAAGTTTTAGTGAGGAGAGGGAATCTCTTCTCACAGGTAACAATTTAAAGGATGAGAGGAAATGGCCTCAAGTTGTGTCATGGGAGGTTTAGATTGGATATTAGGAAAAAAATTTTCTCTGAAATGATGGTCAGGCATTGGAACAGGCTAYCCGGGTAAGTGTTGGAATCACCATTCCTGGAAGTGTTCAAAAGGTATGTGGATGTGGCACTTTGGGCTATGGYTTAGTGGTGAACRCAATGGTGCTAGATTACCGTATGGACATGATGATTTTGAGGTCTTTTCCAACCTTTGTGACTTTAGGATACGAAGTGATTTTTTTTTGGCACAAATATGCACCTATGAGGTCTCTTGAGTACTCTCAGGAAGACAAGAGAAAGATGTCACAACCAGCAGAGGATATCTACCACTCCTTTCCACAGAAATGAAATGGTAACATGCAAACTAAAATCTGAAAAACAGATGAGTGTATGGCTGTTGGGGTTCTTTTAGCTTCAAGATTTCTTTTTTTTCCTTTTAAAGCTGATTTAGACTCATGCTTCTGAGTCCTGTACAAGCTCATGAAATAACCAGCTGTCCCTACAGTAGTCTTCAAAGCTTCAGCAAATGATTCAAGTCTTCCTAGGCAGCAGGTTTTAACAGGAAAGTGAAATCCATTGCAGTCTCCTATTTCATCAGCTGCTACACAGCTGGCATGAAGAGGCTGTATTGTGAAATACATTTGTGTCTCTGGTCTGGTCCTCTCATTTTCCCCTCTAGCTGTGGCCCCATCTCAACCCTCAACCCCTACAGTATCTTGCTGACCACGAGCAGCTTCGGGATGATGGAGCAAACCAGAGGACCGTAAGTCTGGTCAAACTGATGCTGCATCGCCCTCTGCAGACAGGCAGGCAAAGACCGCCACAGGCTGAGGCGGAAGATAAAAACCAGGGATGTCAGAAAAACTCCTCTGACAGAACTTTAACTGCAGGTGTGCTGGTTGGTGAACAGATCAGGRAAGCTCCGTTTTCTTGGGGCTCCATTTTCGCTGGGGCCACGGTGAAAGACTGTATCCATAGGGATAAAATATTACACATATACTCACAGCACTACTTCATTACAATGCCCCCCACACACCCCAAAACAAAAACAGAGCAAAATGGAGACAACAGCTTTTCTTTTACAAGAACAAGGCGACCACATCAGAACAGCAAGAATTTCCTCCCTAATGGTTTTCTTGTGGGAATCTATAATGAGCTGCCACARAATGGAACATCCATATGTGTGTGTGCACGCATGCAAGTCAGGCTGAGGAGTTGCCTGTATTTGCTGAAAAAACCAAACCTCGCTCAGCCACCTCACTTACCAGCTTGCTATCACCATCAGTTTACTGACCTCCTTTTATTTTCTTTTAGCTCCTGAGGCATTAGTTAAGCCACACTGTCAGGTTCTCCATTCTAGCTCCACAGATATTTTGGTTCCCAGTGCTTAGTCAACCCACTGGCTCTTCAGGAATGACCCAGGCTTTGCATTTCCTGATCCTAAAAAGCCTTATGCCAAGTTCTCAGACAAACTCAAGGAACAAATGGCTTCCAGCAAGGGATCAAGTAGGATATAAACAAATCATTCGGTGCAACAAATGGAGGAGCCAGGCACATGCTTACAACTCACTGTTTTGATTGCTGCAGCTGAATTTATGGAATTAATTTTCTGGTAGGGATCACATATTCAAGTTAGCAAAAGATCTGTCACTAAGAAGTTTATTGTCTTTAATTACAGTTAAGTATATCCACAGATGCATCATGAGAGCAGAGAGGACAGAACAGGAAACTGCTAGAGGGGGAAAAGGCAAAGTTTTCAGCTTACACTAATGGCCTTAATTTAAATATTCTTTTGTAAGTCTGCTCTAGAGTTACGTGTATAAATTTAGTTTTAAAATAAAGTCATTTTAAATGCAGAGAGACACCTCACCTTCCTCAGATCCCAGGACACAAGACCTACACTTCATGTGTTCAAGCCAGTACCAAAGGCAGCAGGGGAAAGATGGGCATCACCATGCTCTCCCTCCCTGCTAGAAATACCTAAAGAGGGAGAGGATCTGAAAAAAAGAGGACATAAATTTGAATGAACTCAGAAAGGACAACAGGAAACTGCGACAAAGAAGGGAACACAGGGCAGATGTCACTACYGGACTCCTCAAAGAATCAACCTGATTCTGTACAAATAACCAAATGGACACAGCTGCCATGCCAGGAGTTTTCCACTGTTTYTGTGGCAAGACATACACAGGTATTTCTCACTGGTGTTTGCTGTTGGCTTTCTCAGCCCCATTTTGCATCATTTCCTCTGGACTTGTGTRTATCTCAGTGAGTGAGACAGCCTGGTCCTGCTTGCTGGGGAAAGGGCAATAGGTTTTTCCTGAGATGCTTTTTTGTTGTTTCCACAGTGAGGGCAGCCAAAGTGATGACCAGGTGATAGAAGCACATAACCTTTTGGCATGGCTATTTGGCCTGTCTCAYATTTCACCAGCGCAGACCACAGTGTTTTGGGCGCTTTGCCCAGGGCAGGAAGTGTACAGAAGGTCCACGTGACAGAAACCTCTAACAAACACTAAACTTTGTCCTCTAGAGGCTTCTGCCAGAGAGTATTCTAGCAAGCACTGAAGCCAGCAGCTCGAGCCATCCCCAAGCTCTTCCCTGTGGTTCAGCAGGTTTCAGGTCAGAYACAAAAGCGCAAGGAATGTTCTGGCAAACTCTGTGTGGATGACCTTTCTTTTCCTTAGAGGGAATGGAGAAGAGGTGCATTCTCTGGCTTTCAACTCTCTTCTGGACATCGAGGAAGGTGGGTTTTAGCTCACTGAGCTCTCTTGCTGATTTGTTCCTGTCTTTCCCAGAAGAAGGATAATAAAAGCAGCTGGGGAAAAAACCTCTAGTGTTTCTCCTGTGGCTCAACAAAGGCTCTGTTTCCCAGGCTGCAGCGCCATCATCTCTGTCAGCATCTGCAGCTGCAGGAAGGAAAAGCAGATTCAACCTTCTGCTTCTGGATCATTTGCAGGCTATTGAAACATTAATTCAACATCACACTGTTGAGGATGGGGGAAGAAAACAGGTTACTTCAACCCGCAATGATTGCGCGATGCAGCTTGAGTGATAGCAGAGTTTTCCTCAAAGAGGAGAAGAGCCAGTGGGAATGTGGGAGGAGGAGGTGTAGGAGTGGAGTCTATACTTGCTACTGAGGGGCAGTTTTAGGGATACACGACTAAGGTTGTTACCCAGGGACCCTTCCAGGTAGTGTGAGCATTAAGCTTGAGCATCACTACTAGGCCTGGCAGGACAAGACTTGCCTAGAGAACGGATAACCTACGCAAATTCCACCGTCTCTACCCACACTTTAACACTGTGGTGCCCTAATTTTCAGATGGATCCTTCAGTGGCAACTACTCCCTTGCTCAGGGCTAAACCATGGCGTGGGGCTACAAGAAGTTAAAGCCGCCTCTCTCATCATCAGGGGCTTTTACGACATTTTACAGACACAGTGCGCACAGGGCTTGCTCCGCAAGGCCCTGAAGAGCTGCCACGGGAGGAAAAAAGCCGTCAGAGCCCAAAAGTGCTTCCTTCCCTCCCTCCAGCAGGCTCTGTGTGCACGACAGCAGCGGTCGCATAGCAACGGCAGAAGGAAGGCGCCAGCKCTGCCCCCCTCGCTCCCCGCGCAGCAACGGCAACAGCAAGGTACGTACCAGCGGCAAAAGCACGCTCTGCAACTCCCGAAACTTTCCCTGCTGCTGCCCGGGCATGAGCGCGGAACCATCYTGAAGCCGTGCTTTTTAAGGAACAGCAGGTCGTGCTTAGTTGAACTGTTGCGTGAGTCAGGGATATGGGAGGAGGGCGCAGGAAGAAAAAAAAAATTGGGAAGATGCTGAGATTTTTGGAGGGGAGGGAGGAAGGGAGGCAAGTCGGGATGTTGCCTAGTGCCTCTCGGCACTTCAAAACCTTTCTTTGTTCTGYCTTGTGAAAATCTGAATGAGCTTTTACTGGAGCTAAAACTACTGGGAAACAATAGGGAGGGAGGCAGGGAGTAGCCGGCAGACGGAGGAGGAAGCGAGCCAAGGGATGACGAATGCCTTCCAGCCCTGACCAAGCGCTGCCACCCTCGGCCCGCCGCGGGACGGATGTGCGGAATGACCGCTGGTCACGGGGGCTGGGTGGGTCAGTGGCACCGGGRGAGCCCCGGAGGGCAACAGGCCTGGCGGCAGCACAAGCCCCAGGCGCCCATCCTCCATTGCTGTCACAGCTCGGAGAGAGGCCTTTGTGCCAGCGAGGGGCAGCTCTCTGCTCAATGTGCTACGCTAATGAGGGACAGATTCGAGAGTAGCTGTGTCATGGATAGGACTGGTGAAAACGACAGGGAGCAGGGACATTCCAGGCCCTCCAAACTGGCCGCCGTGCACAGCTCTTGGGCAAGCTGCAARTCAGGGAGTCCACTGAGGATATTTTTGTTGTTTCCAGTCAAACAATTCCCAGTTTGGAGCTCCCTGGGGAAGTCCTGTTTCCCCGGGCCGAGACCTTGCCATGGTGTCTCTGCCCAGGGTGACCTGTGTGCATTCCMATCTTGCTCCAGGTCCCGGCACGCAGCAGAGATTGCCCTGCCAGCTGGTTGGGACAGTACCTCATTTTATATTTGATACTCCCACCCTTTGTGCATCCCCTCATTATAGGGATTTCTCCTTCTCTGTCTTTTTTCTGGTATATCCCAGTGCTCCTGCTCAGCAGGGGAGAGTGGCGAGATCAGAGTGGATGGGAATAAAGGGCAACAGAAGATAGGAATAAAAGGAAAGGGAGAAAAAGAGAAGGAAAATAAAGAAGTTGGTGAGAAGATGAAAAAGAGGGAAGACAGAGTAAGAGGTGGGCTAGCAGAAAAAAGGACAGATGGAAAAAGAACAAAAGAGGGAATGGTGAAAGAAGGGAAGAGAAGGAAAAGGGGAGAAAAAAAGTGGAGAGAAGGAAGGCAGAGAGGGAGGAAGACAAAAATGGGGGGGAGAGGAGGAAAAAGGGAAGAAAAAGAGGGAAGGGGAAGCACATGAAAAAGAGAGGAAAGTAAAAGATGAAAAGGCAAAAAAAGAAAGTAGAAAATGAAAAGGCAAAAAAAGGAAGGAAGTAAGGAAAACACAGGAAAAAAGGGAAGGAAGAAGATATGAAGGAAATAGTTAAAGGAGAGTGGAGGGGAGAAGAGAGAAGAGGGGAAAGGGGAAAACATGGTAAGAGGGGGAGAGGGAAGCAGGGAGAAGGCAGGAAAAAATTAAGAAAGGGAAAGACAAGATGTGAGAAAGGGCAGGGAAAGGGCGTTAAGTGTCAGAGAGAGCAGGAAAACAGGGAAGAGGGAAAAGAGAAAGAAAAAGGGAGAAAAAAAAAAAGAGGAAAAGGTGGAAGAAAGGGAAAAGAGGAAGAAAAAGGGAGAAAAAAAGAGGGAAAGGTGGAAGAAAGGGAAAAAGGGGAGGAGAGACAGATCTTGCCCCACCCCGCCAGATACGAGGCGGAGCAGGGACGGAGCCGCCGGCAGCTGCGCGGTGGCGGCGAGGCGGTAGGAGCTGGGGAGTCGGGCCGGGCCGGGGTGGAGGGAGTAGGRAAAGAAGGAAGGAAGGAACCTGGGAGGGAAAAGCTCTGCCTGCGGTGCGGGAAGCGGTGCGGGAGGCGACGAGGCTGTGAGCACCGGGGCAAGGGGGACGGGGCAGGGGCGGCAGCGGSTGTGCCCGGGGCAGGACCGGGCCGCTGCTGCGGCCCCGAATGGGATTTCCCCTCAGTTCGCAGGAAGGTTCAGAACTTGGGGCGGGGTGGGGGGAGAACCCTTTTTCGATCCGGGGGACGTAAAAGGGGAAAGTGCCGCGAGCGACGCGGGGACGGTTGTGACCGTTCGGCTGTAACTGTCCCTTCGCGTGTCGCCGTTGGCTCCGATCCCCAGCGCCCTGTGACACCTGGGGCTGTGGTGCCATCCCACGGAAGCCATCGGCCGGGATTCTCGGTAGCGCTCGCGTTGGGAAGGGAAGGGTGCASGCCGGGCATGTCCGTGAGCTCAGGATTCCGCTGGCGCCGTGTCCCGGCCCAGCCGCGGTTCCCGAGCGCCGCCCCACGCTCGGGCGGGTCCCATCCCCATGTGGGTGCTCCGTTTGCAGTGGGTGCGAGCTGGTACCGAGCTGGCCGCGGTGAAAAGCGGGTTTGGGCGATGTTACGGGTGGCTGGTGGGGACTGGGAGAATGGAAGGCGGTGGCTGACGGCAGTGACATTCCGATGGGATAACTCAGGGATTATTTCTTTTACAAATATCCCGTAGTCTGAGTCATGCTGGCCAAAACAGGAGACCGAGGCTGCGTTTAGCCACCTACTGCAGCGCTGCCTTTAACCCCATCCCTTGTAGACTAAAACTAGAGCTCAGCTACTGGTCTTGGCATGATTTGTGCACGTTTATCTGGGGCCATGCTTATATCACTTCAAAAAATGCAGTCTGACTGCAGAACAACAAAAAAAAAATTCTGCTTACCAGCTTCTCTGTGCTTGGATTTGCCTGACCAGAGAGACCTTTCAAACCTTGGATATCGAACTGTGGGGGAACACTTCTCCCATCCACACAAGTTCCACTTTCTCACACACACACGCATGTCCAGCAAGATTTTTAATGTGAGCCCAGGCAGTTCTCGTRTTTGTCTTCCTCATTCACCCAAATTCTCTCAAAAACAAAAAAAAAATTAAAGTATAGCTTGGGGTTCCACATTGAATCGGGTGTGCCATGCTGGTAGATCTTGGTGTCTGTTTGGCTCAGCAATGCAATAGTGATTGAGTAGCATCGATGCCTCTATAAAGTTCCTTCTGGTTAAGTTCCCTTGGAGGGGGAAAGGGAAAATCTTATTGTCACAGAATGCCCATCCTTCAGATGACACACTGTTGCAATATCTCTCCAGGATTCCTGTGGTTTTTTCCTCTCAGATGAGGGCCTTCCCAAGTCCCAGACAAAACTATTCCAACTCTCCTGCCCTTGTACTGGTGTTTTCAGCAGACTGGTTTTGGAAAAATATAATCTGTCCCCTTGGCATAGTATGACTCATGGCAGAGAGCTGAGGGGATTGAAGAACATTGTTACTTCTCAGTCAGTTTTTTTTTTTAAAAAGGTGGTTCTGTTTTGTTTTAATTTTCAGGTCTTACTTCAACTGTCAAAATGGACCTTGATATCCAGTGTGAAGAGATGAACCCATCTAGATGGGCTGAACTTCTCACCACAATGAAATCTTGCAAAACCATCAGGTAGTAACTAGTTGTGTATCATCTCTTTTAAGTAAGAACCCTTGTGTTTCTCTCCTGTGTTTCTCTCTTTTCATCTTCAGAACTGTTTGACCARGACTTGAAAATTTTACAGTAGCAGGAATGATTCTACCTAGTTTTTTTTCCCAGAAAGTTAACTTAAAAGGGATAATCCCCCATCCTCTTGCAATTTTTTTTCAACTACAGATAAATATCCTTTGGTATAAAGTAATGTTGCCCTRTTTCTTGGCATGCTATAGAGCTCTGCTAGGCAATGTGATTTGAATATTTGAYCACCATTTTGGTTATTCTGCCTTTCTCTCTCTGGAGGTGGAAGACATTTCTCTGTTTTTATTAGGTYGCACATTCTTTGGGTTGCAGGTTTGATGCTATCAAGTAATTTTGGCTTCAGTAGTCAGGTACAAATCACATGCCATCAGTTTTTTGTTCTTCACTTGACCTTCAGAGGTACCGGCCTTGTTTGTTGAGGAAACAATGGGAGAGAACCATCTCTTGAGATTTAAGGTGTAAGACAGGTCCAGAATAGCTGTTCCTGCAACATTTCCCCTCTGCCGGTTGGGAATTCACACTTCATGGGTTGGCATCATCCTGCTGGGGCTGTAGAGCTTGGGCCACAATGCCTTGGAGGGCACTGGACTTGCTGAGGGTGACTCCCTTTTGTTTTGTATAGGAGCCTTTTGCAGGCAAAGCTTCATGGGCCTGGCCTTGACTTCCCAAGGCATTCCTTGCRTGGCAGAAGGCAGTGGGATGGTTGTTTCCTGGGCAAAGGTTGGGCTGCTCCAGATGCAGTGGGTGAGAGTGACTGCAACAGGGATTGTTCTATCCATGTTGAACATGATCCCATTGCAATTCATGTTTTCTTGCCAGAAGGAGGGAAGGAGAAATGTAGTATAGCTTCACTTTTTGTACTGTTGTCTAAGGAGAAGTGACCAGGCAACTTCTGGCAGTCCTGGCTGTAGCTGTGCCTGGGGTTGTACAGTTCTTCATTACACCTTCACAGAATCACAGAATCTTTAGGGTTGGAAGAGAACTTCAAGATCTTCAAATCCAACCTATGCCCTAACACCTCAACTAAACCATAGCACCAAGCAGCACATCCACTCTTTTTTTTAAACACATCCAGGGCACATCCAATGTTTTTTCAAACACATCCAGGGATAGTCACTCTACTGCCTCCCCGGGCAGACCATTCCAGTACTTTATCACTCTTTCCGTCAAAAACTTTTTTTAATATCTAACCTATGTTTCCCTTGGTGCAGCTTAAGACTGTGTCCTCTCATTCTGCCAGTTGCTGCCTGGAGAAAGAGACCAACTCCCACCTGACTACAACYACCTTTCAGGAAGTTGTAGAAAGCAATAAGGTCATCTCTGAGTCATTTTCTTCAGGCTAAACCACCCCAGCTTCCTCAATTGTTCCTTGGAAGGCTTGTGTTCCAAGCCCTTCACCRGCCCTGTTGCCCTCTTTCCTTTTGTTCCATGTCTTTTCTGCCTCCCTCTACACTTACTTGGCTGTCTCATACTCCTGATCCTTTCAATTCAATTCAATTCAATTCAATTCATCCCCATCAATTTAGCAACAGCTAGAAGAATTATGATATCCAGTGGGAGAGCCGCTGCTGTTCTGCAAACCCAGGGTTTGTGTGCTGAGATTCCTGCTGTAGGGAGATGGTCCAGACCAGCATGACTCACCTGCAAGAGACCAATGTGCTGATGAGTGTCTCTGGGGCTGTTTCCTGTACAGAACAGCTTGGCTGTTTCCTGTACAGAACCAGTCTGACAGCCTGTAAGCTGCCTCTGGTTAGACAGGCCTTCAGATGACAGGCAGTTTGTCACTGTCACTGTTTAAATGAAGGCACTTTCACCAGCTACAGGGGCATGACTTGTGTCCTCTGCTGTGCACCACAGAGGAGGAGCAAGGCTTGGGGAGCTGCCCATCCTGTAGTGCAGCCCAGAGCACACCTTGGTTTGGGCCATACAATGCCCAACAGGTCTTCCACATACTTGTGGAGGCATCCCAGAAACTGCAGGAACATTGCCCACTCTGCTTTCACAAGCAGTGCTCCAGCCAGGGAGAGCAGAGCAACTCTGAGGACTTAAGTGTTCTTTCTCTCCTTKTCTTTCAGGATGGATGACTGCAATCTTTCCAGCAGTAACTGCGAGGATCTCTGTTCCATCATCAATACAAATCCATCCCTCACAGAGCTGAAGCTGAACAACAATGAGCTGGGAGATGCAGGTGTTGAGCACCTGTGTAAAGGGTTGCTGACACCAAGCTGTAGCCTACAGAAGTTATGGTAAAGCCTCATTGATTGTTTTGCTCCATCATGCTGTCACAAATGAGTGTTTTAAGGTCTCTTAAAGAATCTCTGGCAAAGGCAGGCTTCATATGAGTGGAAGTATGACGCAGCTCATTGGCAGGGTTCACTACTACATACTACATGATTAAAGCACATAGAGAAAAAGCAAACAAAAATCCAAAATCAATAACCAGTGTCAACCGAAATACTGTCTACATGGAGACTGGGAGAGGGGGGAAGGGTCAGGATAGGCAAGGGTGAATAAAGAAGAGACTCCTTTTGAGTCCCAAGGTTCAGAATTCTTGCTTTACTGACTCCTGGACTGGACCAACACTTGAAGCCTAAAAGTTTTAACAGCACTTAATTGATAGCTTGGGTTAAACAGTTTAACAGAGGTTCATATAGAATTTACTATATGCAACAGTAACTCATAGGTCTAACTGACAAATCTAAAGTACTTAATAATCTAGGACAGTAACAATCAATCCATTTGCTGTAGCATATTCCCGCCTACAATCACAAAAACCTAAAGGAGTATGTACAAGGTGYTCACCCATGGGAAATTGCCCTCAAATTCAGTGAAAGACTTGGATGCCTTTGAGATTGAGCTCCATAGAGTGGGRGTGTCAGTCCAGGATCCGTTGTTTGGTCATTCTCAGAGTGCAGCAAACTGGAGAGTTCCCGGTCTCTGAGAGGCATTTTATAGAGGCACCCACCACATTATAGCATTATAGCATTAGTGGGCTTCCCTCAGCAACCCTGGTGCAGGGGGCTCCTCTGAAGCCCTCAAAGAGATGCCTTCTCTGTCCAGCATCTCTTCTGCAGGTACTCATGTCCTCCAGCTCGTGAGGGGAGTCTTGAATCTTCATGATACAACTTTGTAAAAATCATTTGCCTTTTAGATCAGACATTGAAGTCCCTGTGCCCCTGCAATGAGGACTCAGACAAATAGAAAGAAAGTTGATTGTGAAGCCGATTAAACTTTAGCTCTCTGATGTGCCTTCAAGAAATAACTGTGGTACTCTGTACTGGAAGACTTAAGTAATATTTCAGAGAGTTTGCCCTTCAGAGGCTTCATACTTCTCCAGATGCTCAAGTATCAGGCTGGATTAGGCTGTTTCAGTTCTGTGGAAATATAATTGTCCATTTTGGGGGTTCTGGTAAGGTGATGTAGGAAATAAAAGAGCAGTCAAACCCAAGTCAAGCCTCCCTGCACAACATCTCTCCATTGCCACAAARTCTTGTCTGCTAACTATAAGCACCCCATAGCAACACTAGCACAGTTCTATGCTACTCCTCCAAGCCTGAGTGCTGAAGGATCAACTTCATACATCCTTCTTGTACTATACCATTAAACTTCTAAATTGTATCCGTGGTTGAATGAGATTTTAACTTCTACCTACTCTGGATCTCATTTCTAGAGGGAGCAAGAAATTTTAAGATGCCTTTGCTTTATCTCTGGGGTCAGTCTCGTGATATTTAAGCCACTTCTGCTAAGCKGTTGTAGGGCTATTTCTTGTAGGGCCAATCCTTACTCTGCTGGAAGTGCTCTATGAATGATTACACTGAAGGAGGCATGGGAGCTATTGTTTGTAGCACTGGTATAATACTAATTGATAAAATATTTCGGCACACCTGTAAAATAACAGTACTAACCTGGACAAACCACTTCCTAGAGGGTTATGCACTCTCAAAAGCTGTGGTGTCCTTTCCAAGCTCAAACCTCAGCAGATAAATCTCTTTTGAGAAGAGCCTCTGTAGTTCTCCAAGTGTGCTYCCTCACCCCTGTTGCCTCTCTCCTCCAGGCTGCAAAACTGCAATCTGACGAGCGCCAGCTGTGAAACCCTGTGCTCTGTCCTGTGTGCCCAGCCATCCCTGACAGAGCTGCATGTGGGAGATAACAGACTGGGAACTACCGGAGTGAGGGTGCTGTGCCAAGGGATGATGAACCCCAACTGTAAGCTGCAGAAGCTGCAGTAAGTAGTCATTGGCTTTTTTGGTCATCAGACAGGCCATGCWTGTCTTTCCTTGAGACAAGCAGGAGTTTTGTTGCCAGATGTGGATTTGTTCTTGTTTTACCTGAAATTGTGTCATGCTTATGTATGTTGGTGGGTGTCTTGTGTTTGGAAGAAGGTTTGTTTAGCCCTCCTGGCAGTGGTGACTGTAAATGCAGGACCTCTTGGATAAGCAGGGAACAAACATCAGATTCCACTGACCTTGGTCCTTGTTTCATGACTGAGCAGGACTTGGGTCTATTTGTAGCCCCCAGCATCTCCCAGGCAGGCCCAGAGGTGAGGCTTGTGATAATGTTGCAGTGCAAAGCTCAGCCYTGGGCTCCAAGCTGCCTGTGCACTGGTTTAATGGGAGACTAGGGTAAAAATTTGTCTTGTTAGGATCCCCTGGGATCTAGTTTAAGAATTAATGCTTCCTGAAATGAGCAGAGAGATGCTGTTAAAAACTTACTGTTATCTCTGGTTTTATGCATTGCCTGGTCTCAACTCACATTCACATGTTTTCTGCCCTGGCTAACACATACCAGGGCCAGCTGATTCTTGTGGTAGCAGAATGTGTGAAGAGGGTTGTCTTTTTGCCTGGACTTCTCTTCCCCTTGCAGGCTGGAATATTGTGAACTCACAGCTGATATTGTGGAAGCCCTCAATGCTGCTCTGCAGAGCAAGCCAACCCTGAAGGAGCTCAGCCTGAGCAACAACACGCTGGGAGATAATGCTGTAAAACAGCTGTGCCAGGGACTGGTGGACTCAAGCTGCAACCTAGAGCTACTACAGTAAGGAAAAGAGCTGGTCATCTCTAATGGCAACTAGTGCTGCTGCTAGTCATARCATCTATAGGACGGGAGAAATTGTTGTCAGGATTGCTTGAAATTTAGGCCATTATTTTTGCTGGCTCAGATTTATGGAACTCGAAACTGCACACAAATATCTGGGGCTTTCAGTTTTGGAGTTTTTGGTACCGCAGGTTAAACCATCRCTTACTAAGGAAGACTGCTCGCCTGTGATAGCAGAGAAGCAGTCACCCTCAGTGGCTCTAGTTCTTAAACTGGAATTACCAGCCAGTTGAGTATACTTATTCAGAGCCCTTTTTTGCTACAAAACAAAAGTGCTGGGTTTGGCCTCGTTTCTGGGGTAAAGCCTGTGAAAGGCTTTATGGGAGAAGCACAATTCATTTTATCTGTTCACTGTGATTCAGCAGGGGTTAGTTCAGCAGGCACTGTGTGATACTGCCAGAAGTTCCTCTTAAAAAGGATAACTGATAAAAAGGGGAAGTTTGGCAAGAATGATSCTAGAATTAATGCATATGAATAGCAGGGTTTAAGCCTGCAGCCTCATGATATTCAGGAGTAGTGTGCTGCCTCACCCAGAGATCATCTGGGACACTTGTATCCTCTGAGCCTTGCAGGATGTAGCAGTGCCCAACTGAGCTTCACAGGTCTGCAGCAAGGAGCCAGATCACAGACCCTTCTCAGTCTGAACTGGGGTGTTGAGGTGTATCTAAAACAGTGGGTCCGGGATAGCAACTCCAACTGTACTTTTTCCTGCAGCCTGGAGAACTGTGGCATAACCAGTGACAGTTGTATGGAGATTAGTACTGTTCTCAAGAACAAGCCGTCTCTGATGGATCTTTCTGTGGGGGACAACAAGATCGGGGATACTGGTCTGGCTCTGCTGTGCCAAGGACTGATGGATCCTAACTGCAAAATCCAGAAGCTGTGGTAAGAATGGGCAGAGGTTTCTTAAAACCATTCTGCAGCCTCTGAGCTATTTATCTTGTGCTGTTGGTTTGCGCCTAAGTGGAAAGTACCTCAGTCACTCCCTCCTGTCAAAAAAAAGAGTGTCTTACCTGCAAATCAGTTAATTCCCAAAACTGGGTGAAGGACACCATGAACAAGTAGGGCTACACTGAAATTGCTTGGATCAGATTCTGGGGAGAGGGTGAATGGAAGTTTGTCATGGCATTGTATTGGTTTCCTGTTATCTGTCTATTAGAATTGTGTATTTCTGTTGTTTTGGTTTTTTTGGTGTTACAAGCAAAGCTTTTGGTCCTGAAAGTGGAAAGTAAGGAAAGGAGGAAGCTGTGTGGTATGATGTATGAAAGAATACAAGAAAATGAGACAAGTAACCAGAAATTCTAATCTAAGTCACTCTTGGAAAAAAATAACACTTGTTCTTCCTTGCAGGTTATGGGACTGTGATCTCACAAGTGCTTGCTGTAAAGATCTCTCCAGACTTATCCTTGCAAAGGACACCCTCAAAGAGATCAGCCTGATAGATAATGACCTGAGAGATGCRGGGATGGAAATGCTGTGTCAGGCGCTCAAGGACCCCAAATCTGAACTTCAGGAGCTATGGTGAGCTATACCCACCCAGATAGATCTTCAGTTGCAATGGTTCCATAAGCAATTCCTGCTGGTTATTACTGAAAGGACTTACAGAGGTAAAACGGGTTTTTCTAGACTTAAAGACTTTAAAAGGATTTGTACTTGTAAACTCGTAGACACTTTGAAGATCTGCCCCATCACAGTCGTCCTGTTATAAGCAAAAGGAGACCAAACATCACTTGCAGAGCTTCTAGTTGATTTATTGTGCAACAAATGGCAGCTAAGAGACTTTTGAAGTTTGAAAGAGCTGATGGAATAACAAAATGTTTGCTGTAATCAGAAAGCTCTCTCACTGATGAGACAAAAGAAAGCTCTAGTGATGTAAACTAATTCTCAGCATTCTCTCCTGTGGACTGTATTACCTTTTAGGCTAGGATGGTCTGGCGCCTGGGAGAGGAAATTTGTTCTTCCACTTAGAACTTGAACTGTCCTACATTGCAAATTGAGCTCCTGCCCTCAGCTGGGTTCTTCTCCAGTCCTGGTGGCCTGGAAGTTGGCGAGGTGCCTCATGAGTGCCCAGTAGAGTCAATAGCGACTGTCAGAGCAGCACACATCACCTTTGGTTGTTCCTGTGCTTTTTGGGCAGGTGCCCTTTCCTAGGTGTGTGCTCCAAGACAGACATCCCACGTGCAGAGTGGGAGAGGTGCTAYTTAGAAAGGATAGACCAGATGGGCATTGAGAGGAGTACAGTGATTGTGGGAAGGCTCTGGTTCCTCTGTTCCCACTGTCTGGGCTCCCGTTAAGCAAATGTAAAGGAGTGAAAAGTGCCTGATAGTCTCTAGATGTCCCACCTATATCTCACGTCACTTTTGCCTTGCAGGGTTAGGGAGTGTGGGCTCACCACTGATTGCTGCAAGGCTGTCAGCTCTGCTCTCACCACCAATAAGCAACTGAAAGTACTGCACATGGGTGAGAACAAGCTGGGAGATGCAGGTGTGGAAATCCTGTCTGAAGGGCTGATGCACCCCAACTGCAACATCCAGTCCTTATGGTAAGGTGCACTCTCAGAAGTAATCTTCTGTCTTGCTGTCTGAATTCACCTTTTCACTTCTACTTCCATGGTCCSTATGGGTGCCAGCACAAGTGCTGATCCAGCATCACCAGAAGGAGCAGATAGACAGCTGGAGCATCACCTCCAGCCCTGGGGTGGGATTTGCCTTCCCCATGAGCCTGTTCCCTTCCCAGCTGGGCTCAGCTCTGGGCTGTGTGATGCTCAGGGCCCTGTGCTTGTTCTCTCCATGCCATTGGACAGAAGCCAGAGCTGTGCTCCGATGCCTCATTTCACAATGAGTGGAGCAGATGTGTCATGGGAGACATGAGTAAGCCTTGCAAGACTGTCCCAGAAAGATATGTCTGCTGACCAGTTAAAGCCACTTGGTCATCAACTGAGAGGCCTCAGTTTCCCTTTTTAGAGAGATGGTTGCAAGTCTCAAGTAATCAAGTAATAGTAATAAAGCTTAGTGGTGATTTATGATCAGTTTAAACCAAAGAGAAGATGACGCATGGTGGTGAAACTGAGAATAACTTCTGTGGATTCCTTTTACTCCTGTAACTATGCCCTGTTAAGCTTTAGGGAGGACTTTGAGCAGATTCAGCMGTCACCACGAGGGGAACTGTTTCTGTGGCAAGCCCCTGGCCAGTCCCTGCTGATGTCTTGGAGATGCCACCTTAGCAGGGATCTCTGGTCCATGCTGGGGATGCCCATGCCTGCTGCCCAGGTGTGGGCAGCGTTTCCTTGAGCCAGGGCTCACTGCACTGACCTCTTCCTCCTCTCCCTGCAGGCTGGGTAACTGTGACCTGACAGCAAGCTGCTGTGCTACCCTCGCCAACATCATGGCCACCAAGCCGTGCCTCACCGAGCTGGACCTGAGCTACAACCCTCTGGGAGATGAAGGCATCAGGAAGATCTGTGAAGCCGTGAGGAAGCCCAGCTGCAACCTGCAGCAGTTAATGTGAGGAATGTTGGTAGCCCAGGCAGGGGTGTGGGAGGCTGATGGTGGTGAGGGAGGGTCCTGGGTTGTAAAGCGTATTTCTGGCTGYTTTCAAACCTAGATGGGGCCCTTTCTGGTGTAGGACCTCATACTGGTCAGTAGAGCATCTTTCTCTTCCCTTAACAGGAGGGTGCTCACTAAATCTCACCTGCTTTTTGTTTTGGTGTAGTTTGTACGACATTTTCTGGAGTGCTGAAGTGGATGATGAGCTGAAAGCCTTGGAAGAGTCTAAGCCTGAAGTGAAGATCATTTCATGAGTGGTGACTGCCTGCAGAACAACATCAAAGCAATGTCCTCTTCTTAATCTGAACTTTCCATACATAAAACAAATTAACTTAATAGCGTATTTTCTTGTACCAAAATCATTTGGGGATTCCCTGAGTGGGTGCCTGGGGAGCTGATCAACCTTCTCTGCATCTCTGGATGTACTAACTCTGAGACTCATGAAAGCTGCAGCATCACTATCCTTGAAATAAACAATTACTGTCTTGTAGAAGTGGGTCTCTAGCCTTTAGGAGCTCTTTAATCCTATAATCCCTTCTAACGAATTAGTTGGGCTTTAAAGAGAGCTCCTTTCCCAAGGCAAGAGAACTACCCACTGTATTGTTACTGGGTGGTGCTTTTRATAGGTCTCTGGGGAAGGCTCTCAAAAAAACGAAATGTTTTCAATCTAAAATGGAGGCCTCCCCTGTCTTTCCCTGAAAGAGTTCTTGGAAAAGCAGTGGTGGCCAAGGCACTGGAGAAAAAAGAAATGAGCAGCTGTTCAGCTGTGTAATGTCAAAATTGGTGTCCTTTGAAAAGTGATTTTCCTACAAACAAAAGATGCTGTGTGCATTTCTGCTAGTATGGGAAATGATTAAATGATTGATATGTTTGATCTGGCAAAGAGTGGTTCTACAGGAACTTTATACTTAATTTTTCTACTTATAAAAATAAAATATATCTGTATATTTCTCCTTTAAGACCAATCTAGTTACTTGTGAACTGCAGTACTACTACCATCTTGTTTTACTTGCTTGGTTTTGGTAAGTCACTAGCTGAAAAATGCCCGGAGAAGATCTTAGTCAAGACCCTAGGTAAAGAACAGGCCTAGATGACATTCCAGTTTTCAGGGGACACTCACTGGGGYTTCCTGCCCAGAGTTGTAATAAACCCTTTTTCCACGGGAAAGTGCRGCTGCTACACACCTAAACCACAAAAGAATGAATATAGCTTAAAAGAATGTAGAAGGCAGACCTGGCACTGTCATGGGCTGGCCTTGCAGGAAGAATGGTGAAAAAATCCCAYTCTCCAATGTGTCTTCCTGGAGTGGTCACTTGGTGTTTCTTTCACTGGCAAATTCTGTGTGGACACCCAAGGTAATAGGATCCTCCAGGCTTTGCTTTCTGCTGTTCACATTCGTCCTGTAGAGGCCACAATTGGCTTTTCTTTGACCTAAAAGATTTGACCTAAGCAGTTTCTACAGTAGCCTTCACAAACCTAAAACGAAGTATGAGAAATAGCTTAGTTGTGTCTTCAGGAAGGTGTTAAGGACAGATTTTTTTTTTTTTCTTAAGGCATGTCTCTCACAGCTGCTCAAATGCTAAAAAAATCTTAAAACCACTCGTTTTTGCTTTGGTCTTCTTCATCAATAAAAACTTGCCCATTCTGAGGGGCTCATAAATAGGCTTTTCAGTTCATGGTCTCTCCTGGACTTGCGTGCACAGATACCTGGATTAATTTCAAGCTGGGGGAGAAGACAGGGCTGCACAGGGGAAAGCTGTAGGGAGACCCAGAAAAATAAGGCATCTGGGAGGGTGTGAAGACAGCCCTCTAAAAAGACACAGCAAACATTACTAGAAGTGGATTCTCCCCGTCCTGGCTACCCTGGGGTGGGGCACTCTGCCCTCACAGTGCAGCTGCAGTGCCTGGAAAATGCTTCCTCTTCCTCCCCTGCAGGCAGATGTGCATTGGGAAGGGTCGGCCACCATGGCCCCTCTGTGGGTATTCAGCCTGGGACAGCCCGCTCCCACCTGGGGTGAAGCCCATGCCTGCCTTCAGTCTCGGAGTGGCTTTGCATTTCCTTCAAGAATGCAGACAGAATTTGGAAAAGTCTCTGCAGCAAATGCCAYGTATCCAGCTACTGGCCACACCAAGGAAAACCACAAGAGCCATATTTTGCCTCCTCATGAGCTCAGGGCATTTCAGGCCAGGCCAGCCTGGATGGGGATGAATCTGTGCATTCAGAACCTGTGCTGGGACAACATCAAGTCCTGTGCTTGGCTCTAAAAAGCAGGTATAAATTATAAATCCCAAGATCCAGGAGCAAGCCACTGTAGCAAGAGACACTTGTACTCTTATACAAAACTCAAGTAAGGATTTCTATCCCTAAAAACTCAATTTGTTTTTATCCATCTATTAGTTGGTCCAACTCACTTCCCTGACAAATGTTGTCACAGCTGTGACCTTGGGAGAGCTGAAAGACACTGAAATTTGCTTCTGCATTTTGGATGTGTGGGTAGGCACCATTTTAAGCTAAAGCAGTCAGGAATTGAGTCACAAACCTTTCATGKGGACTAGGTAGCAGGCTGGCAGGCAAAGCCTTACTCATACCGAGATTACAGCAGAAGCACTCAGCAGTTCCTGGGACATTGCAGTCACATCCTGGTTCTCAGTCAGGGCAAAKGCTTGGACCCCCTTGATACAGTGGTTTGTAAGTACTGACTTTCTACCAGCAAGGGCCAAGTTTCACCTTGTACAATGAAGCTTTAAGACAAAATTAGGCATCCAAAATAGAAAATTAGGAAATACAAGTATGATTTGCAGTTTAAGCAAATACTAGAACCTTAAAAACATGCCCAAGACATCTTAAATTCAGAGAAAATAGGTCTGTACTTTGGACTTCAGTAACAGCAACAGTGGTTTAGGGTGTAGTAAAACTTCAAGTTTCTGCTASTAGTTTCAGATTCTACAAAAAAATATAATTTTTTATTCATCACAGCATGACCTCTTGAGCTGGGAGGTCACAGTGTTCCAGCTGACATTGCCAGAAGCAGTTAAAYAAATACTACCGTCCTCACAAACAGTTTATACCCTAAGCAAACCTTCACTTGTTTTGGAATATCATCAAGTCACAGCTGCCATGGCATCCCTGACTACTCTCTTGATGCCTGAGCTTTTTGGGAAGAAGTTCCAGCATAGCAAGGCCCTGGGGCACCAACCCCAAAATACTTACACTACCAACAATTCCAGTGCTCCAGTTGAATCTGAAAGGGGAAATCAAGCCCACTGTGTTTGAAGAGTTAACCACACATAGCTCCCTGCTACAAAAATAGTGTTTGCCATCTGAGTCACTCCCAAACCTCTACTAAAACAGACTAAATGGGACTTACTTTTTGCCTGAATTCCTCTTTTGCGCAGAAAATTAAAATTTTCAATTATCATTTCCAATATATCTCCTCTTTCTGTGTTCTGGTTTCATCAGTCGCCCTTTCCTCCACTGCACCTCCTTTTCTTTCATCTCACCTTTTTTACTAATGGGGAAAAAGCATTGGAAAAAACTCCAAACAAACCACTAGGCAGGAAAGCCCCTCTCCCCATAAGGTAAGAAGAGTTTTGATCCACTTTACCCATTCCCCTCCTCACAGCTGCAAATGAACCATGGTCATTTCTCCTCCTGGGGCACAGCATCTCCCCCTCCTTCCTTACTGAGTGATGCCACTCCTCTGGAACTCACACCGTAAGCACTAGCCAGTGCACTCCCAGCTTGGCAAGGACTTGCAAATTGGCAGCTTGATGAATGAGGTCAGTCTTGCCCCTCTCAGCCACAGCCAGCTGCCCCCAGCAGGAGGAAGAAACTGTGCTGGGTCATATGACTGCACAGACGATAAGCCTTTCTGAGCTAGAGGGCAAATTGGTGGCATGTGGGATGCRGGACCGTGTAGCTGGGGGGATGGAAACTCTTAATTGGCCAATATTGTATCACAGCCTATCTGGTTTGCAATTAGAGGCAGGTATGCAGTGGGAGAGGTGAATTGTTGGCACTTCCTCAAGCCCTTGAAGATATTCCAGAACAAACACTCAGGCAAAGTCCTAAGCCAGGCCGTGCTGCCCTCAGGCTGGTGCACAGYAGACCATAATATCCACAGAAGGAAATAAAGTCCCAGCACAGCTATCACTTGCACATGCAAATCCTCCTCTGCTGCTTCCTGTTTCCTATCTCGCTGGTGATTATCACATCCCAGGGACAGTCCCATGCCACTGGGACAGTGCAMAGATCCAGCACTGCCCACCCCAGCTTCTTTACAGCCCCTATACGTTGCTTGTGCCTTGTCTACCCTTCACTGGGATGCTTAGTCCAGATCCTAATTATGCTTGGCAGATGATTAAAGCACCTCTTTGCTCCTGGGTACAGAAGTGCTCCACAGGCCATATTGGGATTTTCTGGGATGTGCTGCCTGCCTCCACGACTTCTGGTGCAGCTAAGCCAGCTCCTCGTAGCTGGGTTAGAGGTGTCAGCTCATCTCTTACATGCCATAACCGCAAACCAAGACGTGAAGCTGCACKCAGAGATAATCAGAGTATAAAGCACCAAAGAGTTTGCTCCACAGCACTTCCCACAAAGAGGGAAAAGAAGACTGTTTTTTTCATCCCTGACTCCAGCGGGAATTGTTGCTTTCTACACATCAGGCTCTCAGGAGATCCATTCCCTGCTCTGTGTTACAGGATGCAAAGCAAATCTAAATTAGACACACCACATGGCAGGCAGTCCTGTCTCCTAACTACAGCAGGATCAAAGATAGGTGAAATCCCAACGACGTGGGTTAGAGTCACCTAATGAATGCTCTGGGGAGGAAATCTGGCTGGATTTGGATCACTTCAGAGAAAACAAGCAGAGCTTCCAAGGCTGGAGAGAGAGAATGGAACTGATCCGAGACTTCTCAGGAAAGTTCATCAAAGACCAGATGGGATAAGGAGTGAAAACCAGATGAGGGAGGAAGGAAAGCACTTGAGGATGGTATTCTACATCCTTTCTCACCTCCCTCCAGAGTTCCTGGACCTGTAATCTCTGAGTAACAGCACCATCTTCTGAAAGAGACAACAATTCCTGCTCTTCCAATGGCTCATTGCCGCTAAGTGTTTCAAGCCTTTTTAGGCTCCTGGATTTTAGGCCTGGCAGCCCTGAAAGGGTATGAGACAGCTTTGGCACACCTGAGGCTATGGATTTAGCTCCAAAAGTGTATGCAAAGAGTACCCATACATAT